ACAGGGTGTCGATTTACTAGGTGCTTTGTTTCACAACTTGTTTATTTATAATATACGTATAGCGGATGAATTTTTTTTTAAATTAGTATTTATTGATTTTCAGCCCCCAAATGACTGTGTGTAAACACTATTTACCGGCGACATGCCACACTGTTCGGTGATCGGCAAGCACATGGAAGACAAATTGTGGGACCAAACAAATGACACATGGTTTACGGTGATTAGACACATCACACCGCTGGCTAGAAAAATTAAATAGTGTAACGTGCACATTAGTTTTGACTGCCTGTTAATTTACGGTGTAAAGTTATCGCCATCTTGGAGTTGTAAGGCTTCGTCCGGACGACTATGCTCATTAGCATAGGCGGCAGCTTCAAAGCGAGTGGAACGCGAAGTACTTTTCATGCGTTCTGCTACGAATGTTGTACGTCAGCTTTGACTTTGTTGAATGCATCAGGGAAAATAATTTGCATGCAGTGAAAAAAAAATCATTCACGATGTGCAACGTTTTGTCATGACAGCAGTTGTTTGCAATCGTCTGCCTTCATTTAGATCATAAACGGACTCCAAACTTGTGGTCTACGATCGACTGGCTGGTATTTTAACCAGATATGAAATACTTTGTAACAGTTGGGAAAAGTAAACAAAAACGGCGTTGGTTGTGGTATGAATGGAATTATTTTTGTATCATAATTTTCGAAGTCAGTATTAATGAAAATTATGGTTTATTTTTTTAAATGAACGCCAAATTTCGGTGGTCCATATTGATCTTAATGTAGCGGGAAGGGAAATTTTTTTTATCTAGATTTTTCAATAATTGATAAAACGGTTACTTTGTACCTTGATTCATCATCCCAGCTTTTTGATATTTCGGAAAGACCAGTGCTCAAACGCTAACACTACTACCGTTTCGTGAATAGTTGCATAATGTTTCTAACATGTACATGTATATGTATACTACTGGTAATACTCTGTTGTTGACGATTCTGATAGAACAGGTGACAAGCTTTCTGTCGCAAACAATGCATATTAATCTAACGTCCATTGTCAGCATTATTATCAGTCAAGACTTCGTCTGAGCATGGAAGGTACTAACGGAAGGAGCCACGACGCTATTGTTTTAACTTTGCCCCATGATCATTTGTCAATGTGTGTTCACAAACATTGGTTCTGTTCGCTCTTAACACTTTCGTACAATGGTTACTCCAGTCTCGAGCATTCGGTAATATTCAGAGCATGTTCGGAAGCGATAGACGAACCTCGCATGTAAAATGCTGAAAATGGCGTCTAGTTTGAATACTGTTGTTTCCGGAGTTGTTGGCGAACTTTAATGAAAAATTAGCAGATATAACATCTATTGGAGAAGAACTGATGAACTATCGTGAATCTTTTTGTATTTGAAATGGTGATGAGACTTAATCAATGATTGCCTGTGACAATAACCATTACATTATTCACTGGTACCATTGTCATTGTGTGGGTTTGACGCCCGAAACTATTGAAATTTTCGACCACTGGGCATCGGCGAACGCCACCAGAAAAGATAGTATCAAAAGAAGGGCATGCCTAGACACTTTCTCTGTGATAATATTTTTTAGGAGTCCTTAGGAATTTTTGTTTTAGACACTGAAATCTTGTTCTTGTTACAGTTGCTAATAACTAAAACATGTGAAATATGTGAAGTCAAACGTTCATCTGTTGAATTTCCGGTTGTGAAATACGTATTTTGACCTATCACACCTAAACCAACTGAGTGCGCATGTGTGATGACCGTAGTTTCATAATGCGCATACATTTTATGGTCACATTTAAAAATCGGCGGGGTTGTACATATTCCGCTAACTCGTTACTTGTGTAAACAATCGCAAACTATCATCGACATCAAAAATGAGCTAGACAATGTCCTCATCAGGATTAACTTGGTTTGAAACAATAGAAAATAAGCCTGTTAAGAAGTTTAAGTGGCCACTTGAGAGGCGTCGTGACTCCTTCCATTAGTACCTTCCATGGTCTGAGAAATTGTTTTATTTTCTAAGTCTATATTCTATTTTAATAACACCATCTTACTAACGCAATGATGATGTTAAGAAAGAAAGCAAAGATGCCAATGAGAAGAGGAGGCAAAGAAAAATCTCCATATTTACTAATTTAGACTTGCCTACAGCCTGTTGCGATTCCGATATAAAATTACAGGACTTTCGCGTTCACCCCTTGTTTACGCAATTTATATTTATTTTTCAAGAATTTTTCATTTAGGTCATATTATGACCAACCTCGCAAGTGGTTCGAAAGGGACGATTAGGCTGAAATATTCGCATCAACGCGAAAGAGTTTCAACTACTTAACCGATGACGACACCGATACATGAGATCGTTGAAGGTCGGTGATCAGACGAGGAAGTGAGTACAGGAAATCTTTTGCTCGTCGACATCGGCCAAATAAACAAAGCCATCGTTCTGTTTATGCAGAGAGCGTGCACCCATCTAATTTTCCGTTGACACTGCCGTTTTAGTTTTCTATCTTCAGCAGTAGTTTCAATCCATTCACATAGCTTTACGTTTTTGTTCTCTTAATATTCTTAATAAAACGATATTGATTGCCTAGAAACAGTTTGACCCGCTACACGCTTTATTTGGGAATTCAAAGTGATGAATATAGTCATAAAAAATTATACTTCACACCGTGTGAAACGTACTTCGCGCTCTTCTCGCTTTAAAGCTGCCGCCTATGCTAATGAGCATTGTTGCGGACAAAGCCTTACAACTTCAAGATGGCGTTAATGTTACCAGCTTCCTGATGTTACACCATAATAAGGCAGCCAACACCAACGTGCATGTGTTTTGTAACCCCTTTCATCTCCTCCGGGAGATGTTATATATGTTAATTAATCAATGTTAAATACTTGCTGATTACTGAACCGTGCTTCATGTCGTCGGTAAATACTTGTTTACCGTAGTTCGCGAGCAGTCGCGAAATAACCATTTAAAACTAAACATTTCTATAATGCATGCTGTGTACCCTTAAATCGATCGACCATTGAGATTCGCGCTTTTCGACCAACCAACCAATGGGAATCGTGCTCTTCGCAGAGTGACACTGCGATCCTGTCGCAGAGTGCAATAATCGACATTCGGCGAGTCGCACAATCACGTCGCAGAGTTAGTTTTTAGACCCCCATACATACCTCTGGATTGGGCTCCATTATGGCTCCAACTGTGTAAACGCAATCAAGCCAAAAACACGCACTCAATCGCCTTCTTCAAGTAACCTCTCATTAAAATAGATAGATTGATAGCTCAACAAGAAACAGAAAAATGGTGTATGAAAAAACAAGTAAGGATGATTGAACCAGATGTAATGGAAATTGAAGAAACAGTTTAAAGACACCAAAGATAAAAATAGTTGAAGCCGTCTCGGTACGGCAACGTGTCTCTACTAGGTTTAGATTGACAATTGTTACACATATCACAGTTGAACAATTAAAAGATGGTAAATTTGCATGACAATAACTTGAAAGTATATACATTAGGTTAATCGATGGGACGAGCAGTAGTTCGGCTCCGATAGAATGTTGTGTAAACATAGCAATTATTTCACTTGCCTTTTTAGAACTTTATTAAGGGCATAAGCCGCTAAATGAAAGTGTGGATGTGTGGTTGACACTCCTGCCTGTTAATAAAAAATAGCACAGACCAACTCATCCAAGATGGTGGACGGCAAACTTCACAATGCAGTCTTTCAAAGACAATGACACACCTGAATCACACCAAGAAATGGTTTGG